ATATATTATTTATTTATGTAATGTATCTTGGAAATACGTATTAATATGATTTTGGTCTTTCTCTTGAAAGGCCTCTTCTTCTAAAAAATTATTTTTTAGATTTTTTTTGATTTTATCAGATACTAATTTACATATGTCTAATTAAAAAAAAAATATAATAGAGGAGTGGTACTAAAACATACAAATATTTTAGAATAGACTTATATCACAAACAAAATATATCCAGATTGTTTTATCATAACACTTATTGTTAGCATAGAAAATTATCGATATTTATGATATTGTCTTCTAATGTGAAAAAAATCACTTTTAAATGATTCGTAAAATATATAAATGATTGCACGAAGACAAATTCACAATAATGAATAGAATAGTGCGTACTTTGTGTGCAATTTATGAATTAACCTATATAGTAGAAGAACCTTCCCTTTCTCAGCGCGTTATCAGTTCTTTTTTATTGGACGGTGTTAGGAAGTTATACGAGAGATTTATCGCGGATAATATTACAAAGATTATTACAGAAAATATTTGTTAGCTGCCTCCGTTTGCTTTTGTATGATTCTGCTTTGCTATAAGATTTAAATTATTTTTGCACTTTAGTTAAAAATGTATAATTAATTAATATTTAATATACATTCTCTGTCGAATATTAAATATTTATTTATATCAAATATTTTAATATTAAATATTAAGCAACAATCTGAGATATCCCGTATACACATATACATACACGTACATATACATGCACGGGTATGGATGTATATTCTATATTGAAACAAAAATTATAGGTGTTAAATTGCTACAACTTAGATACAAAAATGTATGCTATTTTTCATTAATATATATAACCACTTTGATAGCTTTTAATTAAAAATTAGAAGACTTTTATGTGAAACTTTACAATATCAAATCATTTACAATTGTTATTACACTTTACGTATAGAAAATTACATGTTATCGAATCGAGAAGACATCAATTTATAATATCAAACATATTATTAGAGCATAATTTTATTTTTAATTTAAGATAATTGTCATGTTCTTGATTATCATGTCTTATTGAAAGCGGACTGATCTCAGCAATATTATTGAAAATCGGTTGTAAGAAAAATATTATATACATACAAACGATATTAAAGGGTATATTGTAAAAGCGAAAACTTTTTCAAAACAAGAAAATTCTTGCAATCGTTCATTAATAGATTTTCCTTTTTGCAAAAATTATTATATGGAAGATGTAGAGAACGCTCGGATATATCTGGTAACTATGTATTTTCAAATCGGTACAACATTTGCCTGCAAAAAAATAATTGACTTTTCTATATGATCCATAAGAAAGATGAGTTATGTTTCTCCTCTAATAATAATTAATCGCTAGCATAGGCAAGTAAAACTACTAAAAGTCCATTTCGATGTAGAATATAAATCTGCAAAGAAATTGATGCAACCATATTTCAGACATCGTGAACTCTAGACCAGAGAGACCATGACGCGTTTCCGCGACGTAGAGTGCAACATAGTAAAGTGTCCACTTCTGCGGGAGGACTGTGCCGTCAGGGACGTCGTCACGGTCGTTCTCGTACTGCTATTCGTCGCTCCGATACCGAAGCAGTGATGCGAATTTGTCGGGCACCAACCCGAAATCCAGGATATTGCCTGCATGTTCCTACCGAGCAACAATTGCTGTTTAACGGAGAAATCCTGTAGTGGAAAATTGTTGCAACGTCGGATCTTTTATCCTGAGAAAATATTGTCACCACCGCGAGCATTGTTTCAAATGTGCAATAAGACATTTAAACATTACATAAGAAAATATCTGCAAATTCTACGGTTATTTTAATGATAGCTTTTATGAATTAGAGATTTTTTTCTGTTATTTAATATTGTAAAGATTATTGATATTTTAAGGTTGTATGAGTGTGTGTATATGTTGCATGTTCTTCCGTAAAAATTTTTAGCTTATATTTAAGAGAAATGCTTTTAACGTTTTAAATAGATCCGAATAGAATAGCAAAATTAATATTAAGATTATCATCATATAACCATAATTATATATAATTTATGATTAATGTACTCACCGTACGTTTTTACAGAATGGAGTACTGAAAAGGCAATAAATAATCGGGTTAGCGGCTGAATTGAGCGGCGTCAAACTTTGTATGAAAGTGGCGACTGCGATATTCGTCTGAGTTTTGGGTACATGCCCATAAACTTGAAGGAGATCGAAGACTATGTACGGACTCCAGCAAAGGATAAACACTGAAACATAGAATCGTTCTTCGCTTACATCGTGAGTATTATAATTTATGTTACGTTTATAATACAATGTAAATTTTTGTGGGATTTGCAGAAATATGCAAACATTAGGATAAGAATGCACAGTGATTATTGTAATATTTGGAAAATAGAAAAAGACAGTGTACATAATCAAAATACTAAAATTCTGACAGAGCTCCAAGTTTCTGTCAGTTCCACTTTAGATAATAAACCTAAAATAGCGAGACGCTCTATTTATCTTTTTGAATCACGCTTTGATTTATTTTGTAGCTTCCGTTTTAGAGCATATAGTCGCCGATTTTCCTTTTATTTTTTGGAGAAAGTTTATAAAACAATAAAAATTCGAAAAAAATTTTATAATCACAAAATAAAAAGTATAGACAATTACATTTGGTTTGATTGCTTTTGATCGAAACATTTATTAAATTTTTGATGATTCTTCTCTAAACATCTCTATCTTTCGGAAACGGCTCTTTGTTTGATTTCTGATACATTCAATATAATATTGAATTAAACACATACATTGCATAAATAATAATATCTATAGGATATTTCATAATAAAAGTACAATCGATCAAAATTTAAAAGCTACTGATACTTGGACAGTCCTAGAGAGTTTAAAAAAAAACGCTTTTTAATTTATCAGAGAATTTCTCGTTGAAATTAAAGAAGTTGTGAGGAAGTTACATTTTGACGGATACTCTTCGGTACAGGATAGATATAACCATCTTTCATTTTTCAATAAATCGACGACCAAAAAAGAGTTAAGCACTACCATTGCGCCGATATTGGAAAAACTACGAGCTGAGAGAAGATATCAGTCGCCAAACGGGAAAATGGCAGAACATCTGACGCACGGTGAAATAACTTTTCTAACTAAAAAATCAAAGTAGCTTCAAATTGTTCTCACGGCAAATTCATTTCTCATTTGAGAACATTTACCTTCAGGATATCGAGATTCTGTAATTCAAGTGAAGGTGAAAATTACAAAAATGAGCGAATGTATTAGGTTTGGACCAATGAAATTATAAATTTTCTAGAAAATTTGTTCATTTTTGTAATTTTCACCCTTATTTGAATTACTACAGAATCGATACCCTGGCTTTTCTGTTTCTCCAATAATATTTTTCTAATGCATTAGCGATTTATAAATAGTGAAATCATTGAACTCATTAATATGTATAATTTCGGAAATATTGCTACATCCGCAATCTGACAGAACAACTTGAGGAAATAATCCTGTAAAACAAACCCACAATTATTTTACCAATTTAAAAAAAAATTTGCAACAGTTAAAGTATTATAAAAGAGCTCTTTAGAAGAGATTACAGTTCATTTTTTTTATACGACACAAAATGCGAAAAAACCAGTTTTTAAATTTATTAATATAATTATTGCACATGTATCTGAGACTTTAATAACATATTTAGCCATGCTGCAATAAAAAAGATTTAGTAGGAAACTTTTATTATGTATATGTTTTTGCATATTATTTAAGGATATTGTAACGGTTTATCGAAAATTGAAAATTGTAAGTGGTATTTTTAGTACAATGATGAATGATTACGCAACAAAAAATTCGATTAGACATAAATCGACATATTTGATTCGTCATTGCGATGAGTGTGCAACACTCTAATGTCCCATCAAAAACGTATAAATGTTTCCAAAGGATGCAATGAATGATCGCATTGTGTGTCTTCTTTATGACTGACGGATGAACGTATCTATTGTCATTTTGAGAACGGGGATATTGCTGGTGTATAAATATGGTATGTATGTTGGAGAGTTCACTGCTCCGATATTCTTATAGTCGTTTTAAAATGAACAGTTGTTAAAAGTTTATCACGTGAAAGCTTTAGTAAAAAACTCGTAAATATTGAAATAAAACTAATACAGCAACTAAATTTTTATATATTTTTATATTAAGCATAAATTTTTTATTAAAAAATATGTTTATTCAGTAAATCTATTAATGACAGGGCAAAGAGAGAGAGAGAGAGAGAGAGAGAGAGAGAGAGAGAAGAAAATTTGAAATCCGTATATTATTATGAGATATTTAATATCAAAATTATTACTTTTATAGCTTACTTAAAAAAGAGAGAAATGACTAAAATTTTAAAGCATACTAAACAATTTGCACAAATCGCAGTATTTTTAAAGATATACTGTTTTGTTTATTTGTTACTGCTTTTCGTAAAATTGCATTAATAACTGCAATAGTATTAAAAAAAGTTTAACAATTATTTAATACAAAAATTGATCTATTTAATAATACTTTTTTGCAACCCGAGAAAAAATGGTATAATATGATCTCACAATCAGATGTAAATATACATAATGAATTATAAAAAGATCTGATAACATATAATATAATATATAATTTTATATGATCATATAAAATTATATATGTTATTAGATCTTTTCATAATTAATTATATATATTTACATCTAAGACTACTTTATACCATTTTTTCTCAGGAAGCTATTTAATAATTAAAAAATTATTTAATAGCTGAAATTAGCACATCTTTTAATAAAAATACAAGGAATGGAGAAATATTAGTTTAATAAAAAGATCTCTCAATTTATGGAAATGTATGGGTTCTTTATCTCGAGATATGAAAATCAAAACACATCACAAGCGCAATCGCAATACGCACGATATATGCGCATGGTAATTTCAAAACATGAAACAAGATTACATTGCTGTTATAGCCACAGTTTTTACGCAAAATTTATTCTGCGTGCAGATTGATAGGTTTTATATGTGTTGTTCGCAATTTATCAATTTTATTTAATTTAGTGCGGCGGTTTGTCCTCAGAATATATATACAATTCTTTTTGTCTTTAGATGGTTCGTTCTCGTACGAGAATATCGAATAGAGAATATATGCGTGCTTATCTCCTTATGGCGCGTCTTTTACGCTGCAAATAAAATGGTTCACCGATCTCGTATCAAAGACATAGGAAAAGCTTGATAGGAGGTTATTACTTTTTATTATCGCAAAATAGACGCGCTGTCTTCGAGAATGGCGCTCCGTTTCCGTTATTATCCACGATGAAATATTCGTGTACATACATATGTCAAAGAAAGAAAACACATTCGTGTCTCGAACATATCGTAGACTGGAGTCTACTTCGGAATCTAAAAGTTTTCTTTACATCTACGAACTAACACATGAATAACGAGAAATCGTAAAAAAATCAGGTATTAAAGTATAACTTTACAAGTCAAGTCAAAGAAGTTTATGTAAATATTTGCTTGAAAAGATTTCCATCGAAACCTGAATCTCCTTTGAAGTGGATCTTAATAACGCTATAGAATTTGAAACTACTTTCTGTGCTACAATCATTTTTAGGTCTTGGTTCCACAACGCTTAAATAAGTAACATTTTTATAAATTTATATATAAAAATACTTTCAATACATATATAAAAAAATATATGTATGTTTTTAATTTTATAGAAAATATGCTTGTCATACGATCATAATTCATTTACAATAAAATTAAACTACAATTAAATTCACTATAAATTGAATCGCAGCATATTTCGTGATTTTCTACCCTTATTTTTTAAATAAGGAGTTTTTAAATAAGAGTTTTTTTTCTAAATACATTTTTCTTATTTTTCTTATTTCTTTTATTATAAATTTGACGAAAAATATATATTTTCTTACTTCTTTATAAAGAGATAATACAAACTTTGTTAGGTTTACAATTATTAATTAAATAACACTATGACATTTTGCATTTGCAACATTTCTGTAAATGATTTGCGTCTTACCGAAAACTATGACGAAAGTCATTTTAACGGTTTTGATTTTCGCCCTCGAGTGTCTCTAGTCGGTCCCTGACGTAGCGCTGCTCCTTGCGACCATATTGTGACCACGATGACTGTGTAACAGCCTCCTATTATCAGGGTGGGCGCTATAAAGAGGCTGAAACTCACCAAACTCATGTAGATCTTCCATTGGATCGGGGAGGCCAAATCGATCCAGCACTGTGTCGTACCCTATAAAATGATCTTCTGCGATTAGGCTCACCTCGTGAGTACCACGCGCATTCGATTTCCGATTACTGAAAAGTCCTTCCAAAAATGGGTAAACGATAATGTAACGTTATCTAGTGATATATTTTCTCTACAGTTTGAAAAAAAAACACAATATACAAAAACTCAAAAACATATTTTTGGACAATTTAAAACTTTTTTAAGAACAATTTTGCGATGTCTATAGTTTTTAAATAATTGCTGCATTTAATATATATATATATGTACCTGTATTCGTTTCTCTTCGTATAGAAATATCATTGGCAAACTGAATAACGCTGATAGAGCCCAAGCCGTAATTACCAAAGCTCGAGCTCTCCACCCTGCGATTAAAATTAATATGTTAATCTTCAGATTACATTTTTGTGGTCGATACATGAACACATAATGACAAAAATAATTGTACTCAACAAATATTAGAAATGTGATGCGAAATTTTTAGTGTTTGAAGTTTAATTTTATAACGTAAATACACTTCTTTTTATAAAAGAAATTTATTATCCGATTGATTATTTTGTTTTTGTTTATGTTATGATTTTTGCAAGATATACATATATTTTTAATAATCCAAGTATATATAAACATGTGAGTTACTTTAATGTATAGCCAAAGTTCAATTTTTCTTTAAAAGAATCAAGGAAACAAAGAAAATCTGTTTTAATTAGCACTAATCTGTAATATAAGAGATATCGACATGAATCCTTTTATTAATCCATTGATGATTGAGTATCGAACGATGTTCGAACATGATAGGTAGTCTAGAATTGTACATTTTTCGATTTCTGTAATTCCAGCTATCGACAAGCCACGAGAACGTCGATAGAAGACACAAGATAAATTTTATATCAGTGCAAGGGGAAGATACGCATCACAACGATCCGTGAGATACCTCCGTGTGATAGATGACACGACCGTCTCCAGTAGAAAGATAAAAGAATCCAGCGACGCTATCCTTTCTCCATTCTTTATCTTGTCGCGTCGAGAAAAAGAAGAAACCGTCAAGAAAAAGAAAAAAGAAACATTAACGATTGACGTCAGAAGCAATATTAATTTTCAGAAAAACCATTATATTACAAGTGCGTCACTGGAATCTGATCGTTATTATTGACAGATATTATTGCTATCTATCAGAGCAACAATATTGCCGAGGAGAGTCTCACAGATGGCATCGATTTTCAGTATTTTTCACTTTAGACTCATCTAGCAAATTCTGCGAGTAAAAATAGATGCGCAGCATCTGGCAATAGAAGTCAAAGCAATTTCTCAGTAAGCGGTAAATATGAGGAATAAAATAGAGGAAAGAGAGAGAGAAAAGAGAAGTGGTGATTCAACACGCTACTTCTCGGGTGACATAAATGCAAAGATGAGTGCATTTCATCGCGAGGTAAACTGCGCTGTTCTGTATGTGATTGGTAGATATCGATAAAGTAACCGTCAACCTGCTATAATCAGAAATATTTGCTTGAAAACGTATATTGAAACCTCATTAGAAGCAACTCCATTATCGCACAATTACGATTAAATTGGCATATATATAAAATAATGACCAACTATAAAAGAATTTATTCTCTTTTTTACTATTACTAATCATACACAAAAGATTTACATTTTCTATTGACATTATTTCTCTTGTTTTTGTTGATTTAAATCCTTCATTATTATCGTTTTAAATTTTCCTTATTTTATTTAGGCTAATATTGCTCTTGTCTTTTGTTAATCTCAACTAAAAATGAGAGAGAATCTCAAGTAATATATTTTTTCTTTTAATATTGTTAATTAACTGTATTGTACATAAGTTTTTTCAAAATATTTTCCTTTATTTATCAAAGGCGGATAAAAATTTTTGCATAGAAAGACGAGAGTGATATTTTCGCTTTGAAATAATCAGATGCTATCCATGCCTCGAGTCGTGCTATATATTTCACGGAATTAAAATTAAATTAATAAGTTTAGCCCGGTAATGCTGCTTTGTAAGAGGATCCGACATTAAAGGCGATCGTATGTAGCGCTAATGTACTCACAGCTGCCGGAGAAATTCATCGGGCGGGTAATGGCGTCGTATCTGTCGATTGACAGAGCCACAAGGACATAAGTCGAGCTGTAGGTCACTACGGCCTGCATAAACCTTATCAGCTTGCAAGCTACATTTCCTGCATACCACGTGACCGTCGTTCTCCAGATTATGTCCGTCAGTACGGATATTAGGCCGACTAGTAGATCTGCAACAAGATACATGACTATGAATTGTAATATACATATATTGTTCGCTAATCGATTATTATCAATGCTCCGTCAGAATATGGGGCTTCCCTATTCTGCATATTTCTCAAATATCCAAAGTCACCAACTATAATATCCGGACATATTGATTAATATTATGTATCCAGGAAATCGTGTCATTCAGAGAAAAAGGATTAGATAAAAGTTAACAAGAATTTATGTCGTTTATTTTGTATTTGATTTTCATGGTTATAAGGAATGTGCGTATGTGTGTGATTATGGCTGGTGTATTTGATCCGTAAATCTACATTTTTGTTTATGATGACTTTGGGATTATTATAATAAAAGGATATAAATGATTCGGAATTATTATAAGAAAGAGATATAAATGATACTGCCTTATACATGAATGTTCGTGTGAAATTATATATAAAAGTTTAGTATTAATACGAACACGTGGAATTTTCGCAATCGCGTAAAGGCGCCGCGCGATTATTAATTAGCTCATGAAGCCGTTTATAAAATACATCTGTTTTGATTACGGAATTAATGTTTCTTCAGATGTACAATATGATCAGCTTATAGTTAGTTTCGATGCTTTATATCGCGTTGCTCTGCATTTGCGCATAGTTATAATTAAAAATCATTGACATACAAAACAAAATGAGCATGATAGAACGCGACGTAAATTCGCTAATTTCTATGTTGTGACGTTCGTATACCAAAAACGTCACAGTAATTAAAGGTTATTTAAAACAGTGTTAATTTTCTTATAAAGGTATATTATATGTTTTGTAACGATTGATGCAAAAAAGAATTGAGTTAAGAATTATATCTTAAAAAAATCAACGCAGAATTTTCGTTTTATAGATTACAATAATTAAAATTTTTATTTATGGATAAACTTGAACTATAATAATCGTAAAAGCATGTGCATGTAGAGTTACTTTAGTTACTTTATGATCTTGTATAGAACACATTTCTTAATAATAACTAAAAGGGCCTTATACATGCTTCCCGAAATGTAAGTTTGATCGTAAAAACGTTCGGAAAAGAAAGAGTGCTACCACAACTCTTTGGTAATTCTGTAAATAAACCGAGCTCATCCCTTGTTTTTGTCGCTCATATTTTATCGACGAAATAAAAAGTCGATTTCACACCCTTGTGACTCGATAACACCGGTCGTGATATTAATGTTCGAAATTGAAGAATAATTGCTTCCAGTATAATGGGAAAGTGCCAGCAGTTAATTAAACTAGAAAGCAATTTGTTACCATTAAATCACAATGCTGCAGAGGCGCGTAATAATTTTATTTATAAAATACATGTTAAATGATTGATATATTCTTCTTGAAAAATCTAGTTTTTTATCCAGTTTGAGATAAAATAATTTTTACGATTTATTAATGATTGATTGATTCATAATTTCAATTCTAAGTTTACATCTTTTCTCTATATTAGCGCGATTTCCATAATATTACAATATATTTTTTTACGCAATGTCAAAAATATATTTATAATACGGATTACTCTCTCTCTCTCTCTTTCAATATTGTTAAGCAGTATCAATTTAGAGAATTTATCCTAGCAAAAGAGTATTCTGATTAAAGATTCCAGAACACTCGTAGTCCATTTACGAAAATCTTTCTTATAGGAATGATCAAATTTGTTCGAGTTAATGGCTATACTTTAAAGTATTTCTATATATCCTTAACCTACATGTTCTCAGATAATGTTGAAATCCTTTGATACCTTTATGCTTTGCAACTTTACGATTGGATTTATCAACTTTTCTCAATTTTCTTTTATCGTCGATTACTTACATTCAACATTTTAAATTTAAACGATCGATCAAGGACAGAAGAATAACTTATATATATATATATATATGTATATATATATGTGTGTGTGTGTGTGTGTGTGTGTTTGTAGAGAGAGAGAAAGAGAGAGAGAGAGATACAATATTAATTATTAGAAAATACAAAAACTACGTTTAATTATATAAAAAGATATTCTAAAATAATTTTCTAAAATAAATAGGAAGACTCTACATTGTTAAATTTTAATATTATAGAAAGGATTTTCCTGTTGAGCACTAAAATATCTTGAAAAGTAAGTGATTTCTTTCAAGCAGACTTCGTACACACACACACATATATATATTATTGTTGTATAAAAGTACAACGTTCTTATTTGGAGAGTTTTCTTCTTTCATTCGAATAGCGACGTTTATTGCGAAGTACTATATCTATATTAACAATCTACAACTATCGAGAATATCTCAATATACAATATCTTTAAATTCAGCTTGTTGGCAAAGGAACATATTTTCTACACCTTGTATAACATTTTTGTTTTTCCTATCGCTGCATTAGCACGATTTTATGATGCCTCTTGCTATTATTTGTTGTACAAAAAAAGATCTTGTTAAGTAATTAGATAATCAACTACCAAATCGAGTGTTAACTTTTAGATTATTCAGTTTTTTCTCCTTAAAGAAATACAACAAAAAAAGGAAATATATTTTACATCTTTTAAAAGAAACAGAGAAATGTATCTTTGCGTATAAATCATATTATGTGTAAAAAAGACACAAATATAGAAAGACTAATTATTGCGCTAATTAATTATCTTGCTGATCTCATAATGATTTAATTATTTTCAATAAAATTATATTTCCTGACAATTTTTAAGTTTTTAAATCTGTAGTTTTCTAAGAACATTTTTCAACTATCACCTAGAAATACATTTCTTTTTTCGTAGAATACCTGTTTTAAAATGCATATTTTTACTCGTGTTTTTTCTCTGTAGCATGTTATTTTATGCTATGCCGTAAAAAACATTCTTTCTTTTCCATTTCGCAGATATTAACTTTGCGGTAAGCGTATATCTACTTTTAATGCCGCAACTTATTATGCGAATAATATACGAGAAACAGTAGACAGAGTTAACCATCATCCGATGCCAAACTATTTGTCATTAAAATAGTAGAGATTCTAAATGATTTCGGATTAAAATTTTTCTGCACAATATAAGTATAATGTGTACAATATATTATATGTATTTATAAGTATTGTTGTTAAAATATATTTAATTAGTCATAATTATCATATTACTGCAAAAAAGATATCTTTCCATTAACGTGTTTTGCTTGCGAGCGCAGACACATATACCCATATGCAGGTACAGTTGCAATATAATACAAGAAACTTTTACACTATATACGCGCAATTGTACGTCTGTGTTTCCGATATCCCGTGCATTAAGATACGTCAGCGTAAAAAGGAAGAGAAATGTTTATCTATAAAACGTTTACATGGAAGAGGATGTGCCATCGTTTCCCCAGAGTCTGAATTGAATCAAACATCGGAAGCGAGGGATTTATGAGAAAACCTTCGCGTTCCATATCTAATTTAGATAATAATTTATGTATTTATACATATGTATATATATAGGGTATTCGCCCCCGCTTGTCATTGAGACAATTGACATTACAGAGATAAAAAAAAATACCGTTTTGCCTCTTTTGTTCTTTCAAATTTTATTAATTCTTAGCAGAATTAATAATATACATTTTTAAAAATTGTTACCCGTTTATGCTACATGTAATAAATTTATTGTCTAATTCAAAGTCTATTTTTCTATAAAAAATATCGAAGTATTACCACTTTTTGAGCCATTTACACAAGCCATTAAAGATAAATAATAATCACTTACCCGCAAATGCTAATTGTTTGATGAAAAAATCCATCCGGGATTTCCTGCGTTTTCCTAGCAGAAGTCCGGCGAGAACAGCAGTATTGCCAGCGACTATTACCGCAAATAACAGCCATAGTACTGCGAATTGTTCCGTCTATAAGGAAGAAAACGAAAGAACGTTTGTTTCACTCTTGTGAAATTATCAATTCAAAATTTTTAAACAATTAAAAATGTTGTGTTTTTTCCTCAAAAAATTTTAGAATTCTTAATACATTTCAAAAAAAGTTTTGATGATTAAATTCAAAAATATGAATCCAAAGATATAAACTTTATGTTTCCGTTATATGAAAATTAGTAATATTTTTTTCATTTTTTTAAACTAGGACCCAGGGGTTTAAAAAAAGCTATAATTCTTATTTTTATATTTAATTGTTAGAAACTTTTTTAAAAATATGTATGTAAGAAATTCTAGAATACACTTTAAAGAGGGAAAAACTCTATATTTATTATATCAAAATTCTGAAAATAATGTGTTAAGTAAAATTACAGAGTTACATTAATTTTATATATCGAAGATCACATTCAAAATATATTTAAATTATAAAACCATTTATTTTAACAGAAAAAAATTCATATATATTAAATGTATACAAATATATACAAATGTATACAAAATATTTAAATATATTAAATATACTCATCTTAAAATCGCGGATTATATGTCAATATATTCAGAATATAAGATCACTCCCCCCCCCCCTCTCTTACTTATATAAATCTTTATGAATAATATAGATTTACATAACACAGATGCATTATTATTGTATTGTGTCTTGTAATCTCAATATCAATCCGATGAAATGTTAGATAGCCATTTACTAATCACTTGCTTTATCCGAACAAATAATTGGTTTGATGGTTAGTTTGATGGCTGTGGTCTTCTCTTGCATCGCATACATTGCAAATTGTTTAACGAGGGTGACGTTTGAGCGTTAATTTCAACATCATTTGCGTTTCCACTATGCAACCTAATTTGCTTCAGTATACATGACCGATATGATATGTAGCATAATTTAACGATAACGAATAGATAATTAGGACATTTCTAATTAAGAGAATCCTACAAACCTTTCATGCATTCAAGCACTCATATGTATATTCTATTCTAGAGATAACAACCATATCAGTTACAGTAAATCTTACGTATTACAGATAAACAAATTATCTTTTGACCTTAAATATTGATCAAATCTTACTTTAAATATGCTTATTAACAACTAATTAAAGTGTTAATTATTATATTAAAAAATAATTTTAATTTTCCACAAGCATTTAGTTTAAATATTTACAGTTAAAAAATTATAAATGCTTAATTACACAGTTAAACAAATTTTAATTATAGATATCATAATTACAGCTTAAAAAATGTGCATTCTTTTAGTAGAATTAACAATAAAACAACATAATATTTTAATAATATATCAAGTTTTTAATATTAAAAACATTTCCAATTAAGGAAATTGACATACTTGAATTGTTGTATTTTGCAATTTATAAATATTAAATTAATTATATAATTAAATTGAATGATTGTATAATGGTCAGCACATTTGATTGAAAATGCTTTCAAAATATCATAATTGTAATGTGAGCTGGGAATATATATGTATAAATATAGATATAACTTTAATATCTAATTATTTTGACTTAAAAAACAGAATTAAATTATTTTATCTTGAAAACACAGAAACGAAGATAATTACGATAATAGAAGCAATTACCAATAAAGGCAATTTATAAAATTATTTTCAGTATAAATAGCTCGTAATAAATCCATTGCAGGATATGTGCCAAGAACGACAGTTCTATATTTTAGTACGTTAAAATTTTTATTTTTTTGGAAAAGTAAAAAAATATGTTTAGTATTTTATTAAATATAATAAGAAAATAAATTGCGATTAAAAAGTATTATTTAAATCATTTATTAGTATGTAACGCAACTATAAATAAATGGTTTATATGAGAATTAAACAGAGATGCATTTTGAGTAAAATACGCAAACATGTATTATCATTTATATCATATAATCTAAATTAGTTTAAATGCAGTTTAATTAAACTAGTTTAATTGAAGAAGTAAATCGTAGATAAATTGAGAAATTTACGTAAAATAATCTGTTTCTTATTATTAGAGTATCCTGAAAAGTTTTATAAATAAGATTGCACGCGAGATAAGATATCTAAATTCCAGTGCCCAGTCTGCCACAATCCGCCTGTCTGGCGGATTATATGCCTTCTGGCTTGAGAGGACTCACCGGCATTGGTATTTCCTCCCAAATGGGTGAATGACTTTCGTATCCACCCATCGGACGAAAAGAATATCGCCGAATCAACGAAAATCTTGAGACCATAGTATTACGTGTCCTATTCGTCTCCCTCTTTTTTTTTCTTCGCACTCAGCACTAAATTTATGTTTCTATTCCGCAAACTGCAAATTCCGAAAGAGACTTATATGACAGGCGATTTAGGTCATTCGGTTTTGTTGAGTCTCCCATACTATATCGTACATGATATCGGAGTATTTGCAGGTTTATTCACGTGAATTATTCATTTGACCGTGATTAATTCTTAATCCCTTAACGGATTTACAAATAAATGGCTGTATAAAATGGCATGTCCCAAAAACGTTTTATAAATCTGCGTTAATATTTTAGTTTTAGATGATAATCCAATGTATTTTAAAATATACAATATGTTATGCAAAATGTTAGTAAAATAAAGTTGCTATTTAATTGCATCCATAATGTTTAAGCATAGATAATAAAATAAATATAATAATATAAGCATAGATTATAAAATATATAAAAAATAACATATCTAATAATTTAAAAGAAAGTAATTTTACGAGATTTCAATTTTAGATTCATCAAACTTTAAAATTTTTATTTAAGAGATTTATAAATAGATATCGAACGAATTTTTGTTATTTTTATTCAGCGGCGAGAAAAAAAAGTATTATTGTACAAATGATGAATAAAATTTTATTATTGTTTGTAAACTATTGCTGTCTTGATATTGCGGCGTCAGTTCGATTCATGATATCAACAGCCGCGAGAAAATGGCACAATGTCTAGAATACCATGTATATTGCGAATCGTGATTCTCTATTCGTATCCGGTCTGTTTTGCTTTCCGGTTTCAAAATGCAATTACTCATGCCACTTGCAAGCTCGATATCGATCGTCGAATAAAATTGATACCGATTTTATCGCGCGCGAGATTTGTATGCAAAGTTTGGAGCTGTGGTTGCGATCTATGGGTTATATTTTTATGTCGTTTTCTCTATAATATTATTAATATACTGAAAAAGTGCAGAGAAAGAAAGAAAGAGAGAGAGAGAGAGAGAGGGAGGGAGAGAAGGGGAGAGAGAGAGAGGGGGGGGGGAGAGAGAGAGAATAGCTAATTATAAAATGTGAAAAGTTAATGAAAAGACAACTCCACATTACTAAAAAATATATTACAAATTAAATCTATATTACTAAATCTATAACTTTTATAAATGTATACAATTGAATTAGTTTTGAGAAAATCATTAAATATTGACTAACTATTTCAAATAACCATTATAATTCTTCAATCACAAAAGTTTGATTTATCTCTTTACAGCATTTATATAGTATTAAGAGTATATTTAAGAATATAAAATATATTTAGTTTGTCTAATCTTGACATTAAAATTATTCTATTGTTATATGTATATATAATTTTTCTTCCATTAATTTGTAGCTTATTTATTCTTCAAATATATAAAAGAGTTATTTGTTATGTTTTAAAACTTATCTGTATTTTGCAATAACACAAAATAACAGCGCTGACAATGAGATTTATCTTTTTTTGAATATGAAATATAGATAATTATAACTCCTGTAATATCAAAATGCGGAATTGTGTGTTATATAACTATAGAAAATGCACATTATTTTAATTAATAGAATCGAAATAAAGAGATATAATATATGTACCTACGCATGTAACAAAATTTATTCACATTTATTAAGAGAGTACGAGAAGAGAGGAAATATCAAAATTTGCTGAAAATACCAAAATATGAAAAATATTCACGTCATCGTTTTATATTCCTATCCACTCGATTTATCATAAATCATGCATGAGTTTAATTCGCGTATTTATATGTCCGACAAAAGATTTTATCACCGATTATTTATTTTACTACATGACATTTACTACTATATAATATAACGGTATAAAATATTATATAACGTATTATTTTGATAATCTTTATGTATTAAATTTACGATTATATTCCAAGCCAAGTAATTAATGTATATATTTTATATCTTTATTAATATATCCATACCTGATTCCAGATTCAAAACGGTGTTCAATGAGGCTTTCTATCATCTCCAAGAGATCTTACCTAATGGAAAATAAGCGCCGAAAGGCGTTTTGGATCGAGTGCATCTCGCGCTAACCACGATACATTTCTTGGCACACAAATCAAACGGAATTATAGCTGCGATGACACACCATCTAAGTGGATTTGTAAGATCTAGCATCGATGGATGAAACAAGGATAAATGGGGATAACGAGACGACAAGCTCTTATCTGTGCGGCTTTCATCGTCAACTCGCGAGGTAAGTACTTTATAAAGCACTTTGCCGTATTACACAGCGCTGATTGTAAAAAATTGCCTTGATTTACGGTCTCGTTTCACCGCGGATACATGCGCGGATACAGGGTGTACGCTTTTCCGCACGGTATCGGTGAAAGAAAGCCGACGCGACAGCGAACGGCGAGCGCGACGTTAACCCATTTAATCCACCGCGTACCGAAGTTGCTTCCCATAAAAATCTGTTGCACGTAATTGAACGTTGGCGTAACTCGTCGGCGACAGCCGTATCGAGTAGCAAGCCGTTGTTAAGCGAATTCGCGGTGACTTTATGTAGCGGTGGACAAAACCGATAAGTAATAAGATCGATATTGAATTCTTATAAAAATGAAAAATATATCGTTATATCGCTTTCTTACTGTGTGTCAATTGCTGATTTTACGTAAAATAAATAAAATTCGTTAAAAGTGCATTTTGTTGCTTCAAATTTTATGTGGATATTGAGAATGGCCGTGATAATAAATAAAAATTATTTTTGAAAAGATTTTGCAATGTACACAGTGACAGATTTTTATGAGCCAACGATACAACTGACATTGTTTCCTTTGCCCTTCCCGGTAAACGCGAAAGTTACGTGCGATCTTTTTTCGCTATGGCTATTCATTCATAATTCAGCTTCGTAATTCTGGAGCAGTGTCGTAGTCAAAACGAGTAGAGCAGTCTCACAGAAAAAAAATTTACATTTACATTTGTCTCTCCAAGAAAGTAACAAACTGAATAAAAAAGTTCAGAGAGGAATTCGACATAAATTAATCATGCAAATTTTCAAACACTTGTTTGAATTTACGTAAAGTAGTTATGTAAACCAAATTTAAAATTAATTCTTAATTCTTAATTTTAAAATAGGTCAAACTTACAATTTTTCGCATCCACGAATTCGTTTTAAGAGGTGAAATAATTTATTGAGAAAATATAATAACTAATTTTAATATGTGTGTGCGTGTGTGTGTAAATAACTTTGAATTCATTTCTTTAAGTGATTTATTTTTTGATAAAAATTCTTTTATTTTTAAATATTTACCATTTGGAAAACGAGTGTGGTTTAAAATTTGTCGCAAGCGTGAGAATAGTTGGTTACGATATTTACGTCAAGGGCGCAAGAAAAATGCCGGTAACGAGCCATAGTTGTATCATATAATAGTAACGAGCCGCGGTAAATAATCGAGTTACGACGATACCGATGTGATGCATCCTCAAAGAAAAATCTCTGACCACCGCAGACGGTGACGTGAAAGAGTAACGAACCGCTCGTAATTCGTAATTCCTAACGACCGAATGAAGAGCGTAAGCTTAACGATGTCGCTCTTTCGCGGTAATAACGAGAGTGCACTCTTGGATATGCGCCAAGTTTCCTGCATAAGCAAGCAACTACTGATACTAAAGATTGTTGACTTTATGATCTTTAGAATGAAACATTTTAATAAAATGTTACACGGTACGTAAATCAGTAATTCGAATTATGCTGGAGAAATAACTATATCAAGGTGTCAAAGAAAACTGAAACTTTTTCGCGAGAAGAGAAATTTAATGATTTAGTATAACAATGATCTAATTTACTTTTTTAAGAACCGGAGAAAATTAATTTTCAAGTAGAATTTAGATTGATTTTCTTAACAGTTTGAAACATAGAAGTTTCATTATTATTATCGAATCCTTTAGAGATGATAGATTAATGTAATTGAGAAAATTGCAAAAAGAAAAATAACAATGATTTTGTTTTCCGATTGAAGTTTCTCACAATTCGCTAATGTTCTCAAGAATTAATGTTACACAAGTGTTAGCGCTGTGCAATTATTGTTGCGGTTCCATGTATTTACAGCCAACGAATCATCTGTATTTTTTAACAGAAAATGCACACACTGCAGTACTATCGGTAAATAAATTAATAAAATACAAAAACTGATCTTTCACAATGCTCGCACATATCCTTTTCCGTGCAAAATACACATAAAGATACACGTCTTGCCCCAAGGCATTCAACCGCAAACAACGATAAATTATTCTGAATGCTTTTTATTAAAACAGATTATTAATTTTTTCATAGATACATTTTTCTCGATAAATAGATTATTATGATAAATTGATACACAAAACGTAGATTTGTAGCTGATAAAAACGTGATGTCTAAATGATAATATTCAAATATCGATTCAAAATGTAAAAATATAGTGCATTAATAAATTAAATGCAATATCAAATAATTATATATTATATACGTTTAATTATAAACTTGATTTTTATTAGAAAATTGACGATAAATCAAAGGAATTGTATATTAATATTTTATTTGTATCCTCCAAATTTCTGCTAAATATTTTATATCGAGAAATTACCGCGGTTTGCTTTTTATTTATGTCCACATAAAATGCATAAAACATGAAAACCTCAACAAATAAGAATGTTTAATATCGCGCTTGAAAATGCAAATCTCCTTTAGCAGTGTAAAACATAATAGCAGTCAGAGCGAAGTAGCACGTATAAACTTCTTTCGCGACAAGAGAATCTTCCGTCTCTTTTGATATGCTTTGCTTCGTTTCGTTTTCTGCCTTTTCCGTTTCATGATTGTTTCAGCATATAAACTAAAGAAAGTTTTAGCTATAGCTGGGAAATTTTGTTTCTTACAAGAAAATACACTTATAAAATTCAAAAACTACTAAATAAAATTTAGTCTAATTT